TCGTAAAGGCTTCCTGTGCCGTCTTGGGGGCATGTTGGGGCCGTCCTGGGGCCCTCTTGGGCCGTTCTGGGGCCATCTTGGAGGCCTCTTGGGCGATCTTTCGGCAATCTTCGGGGGCTCTTGGGCCGTCTCGGGCCGTCGGAAGGCCGAAAAAAAGCAAATCTCAAAATCCGTCAAACCTTAGGAAAATCAATGTTTTGGGCCTGTTCTGGCCTTCCTGGAGGCCCTCTTGGGGGCCTCTTGGGCCGTCGTGGGCCAGCCTCGAGCCAACTTCGGCCATCTTGGTGGGTTCCTGGCCCGTCTGACGCCGTCGGGAGCCGTCTTGGGGACCTTTCTGGGCCGACTTGGGGCCTTCTTGGGGCGCTTCGGGGCCGTCTTGGAGGCCATCGTGGCCGTCTTGGAGGCCATCTTGGGCGTCTTGGAGGCCTCTTGGGCCGTCTTGGGGCCCTCTTGGGGCCGTCTTGGAGGGCACTTGGGCCATCATAGGGCCCTCTTGGGCCGTCATTGGGCCCTCTTGGGTCGTCTTGGGCCGTCGGAAAGCCGAAAAGGCGCAAATGCCAAAATCCTTCAAAAACCTAAGGACAATCAATGATTCTGGCCCTTTCGGGCCTTCTGGAGGACGTCTTGGAGGGCTCTTGGGCCGTCTTGGAGGCCTCTTGCGGGCCTGTTGGGCCGTCGTAGACCATCTTGAGGCCATCTTGGGCCGTCTTGGAGGCATCTTGGGGCCATCTTAGTTGTCTTGGAGGCCATCTTGGGCCGTCTTTGAGACGTCTTGGAGACCATCCTGGGCCATCTTGGCCGTCTTGGACGCCATCTTGGGCCAACTGGAGGAAACAGAGGCACGACGGACGCGTTTTGGGGATTTTCCGGGTGGCCGGCGGGACGGGCCGAAGCCCCAGGGGGAGTTTTTTGTTGAAAAAGAACCAAAACCAAAAGCCATAAAGTTTGGCACGCCAGGCACCCCTTTGATAAATCAAAAGGGGGCGGCGGATCGAAGACGCCTACGGCGAATCACCGCCGCCCCCTGCCCTTTCGGAAGCGCCGATGCGGCCGACTGCTGTGGCCAGAGGTCTGCCAAGTTATTGGGCCATATGTTCCCCGAATCGGTCTTTACAGCCTTCGGGGAACACGTGGGGGAGGACGGGGAGGAGAGGAGAGATAGGAAGGGGGGGAATGGAGGAGGAGGTCTCTTGAGTGCAGTTTTTGGCTACTCTGGGTTTATATTGGGCCACATGTGCGGTCTTGGAAGCGTCTTGGAGGGCTCTTGGGCCGTCTTGGAGGCCATCTTGGGCGTCTTGGAGGCCTCTTGGGCCGTCTTGAGGCCCTCTTGGGGCCTTCTTGGGGGCCTCTTGGGCCGTCATGGGGCCATCTTGGAGGCCTCTTGGGTGCTGTTGGGGCGATGTTGGGGACCTCATGGGCCGTCTGGGGCCGTCGGAGAGCTGAAAAGAAGAACATGCCAAAATCCTTCAAAAACCTTAGGAAAATCAATGATTTTAACCTATTCGGGCCTTCCTGGAGGGCGTCTTGGAGGGCTCTTGGGCCGTCTTGGAGGCCTTTTGCCGGCCTTTTGGGCCGTCTTAGACCATCTTGAGGCCATCTTGGACCGTCTTGGGTGCATCTTGGAGCCATCTTACCCGTCTTGGAGGCCATCTTGGCCGTCTTGGAGGCATCTTGGAGGCCATCTTGGGCCATCTTGGCCGTCTTGGAGGCCATCTTGGGCGTCTTGGAGGCCTCTTGGGCCGTCTTGAGGCCCTCTTGGGGCCTTCTTGGGGGCCTCTTGGGCCGTCATGGGGCCATCTTGGAGGCCTCTTGGGTGCTGTTGGGGCGATGTTGGGGACCTCTTGGGCCGTCTTGGGCCGTCGGAGAGCTGAAAAGAAGAACATGCCAAAATCCTTCAAAAACCTAAGGAAAATCAATGATTTTAACCTATTCGGGCCTTCCTGGAGGGCGTCTTGGAGGGCTCTTGGGCCGTCTTGGAGGCCTTTTGCGGGCCTTTTGGGCCGTCTTAGACCATCTTGAGGCCATCTTGGGCCGTCTTGGGTGCATCTTGGAGCCATCTTACCCGTCTTGGAGGCCATCTTGGCCGTCTTGGAAGCATCTTGGAGGCCATCTTGGGCCATCTTGGCCGTCTTGGAGGCCATCTTGGGCCAAGTTGGGGCAACAAAGGCATTGACAGATGGATTTTCGGAAACTTGCGGGTGGCCGGCGGGACGGGCCGAAGCCCACTGGGGAGTTCTTTTAGAAAAAGAACCAAAACCAAAACCTGAAACATCCAGCACGCCGTGCACCCCTGTGGCAAGACCACAGGGGGCGGCGGATCGAAGACGCCTACGGCGAATCACCGCCGCCCCCTGCCTTTTTGGAAACGCCGATGTGGCCGAAAGTTGGACTAGAGCTTGGCCAAGCTATCGGACCATGAGTTCCCCGAGTCGGTTTGGAAAGCTTTCGGGGAACACATGGGAGAGAATGATTATGAACAGGAAGAGGAAGAGGAAGAAATAGAGTAGGAGGATGAGGGTTGTTAGGAGTCTCTTGGGGCACCCTTGGGGTCTGTTGGGGGCTTCTTGGGGGCCTCTTCGAGGCCTCTTGGAGGCATCTTGGGGGCCTCCTTGGGCCTCTTGGGGGCCTTTGGGGGCTTCCTGGGGGTCTCTTTGGCCGTCTTAGGGCGTTCCTGGTCCGTCTGACGCCGTCTGGAGCCGTCTTGGGGGCCTCTCTGGGCCGTCTTGGGGCCCTCTTGGGGCGCTTCAGGGCCGTCTTGGAGGCCATGTTGGGCGTCTTGGAGGCCTCTTGGGCCGTCTTGGGGCGCTCTTGGGGCCGTCTTGGGGGGCCCTTGGGCCGTCATAGGGCCTTCTTGGAGGCCTCTTGGGCGATCTTGGGGGCCTCTTGGGCCGTCGGAAGGCCGAAAAGAAGAAAACGCAAAAAACCTTCAAAAACCTAAGGAAAACCAATGATTTTGGCCTCTTCGGGCTCTCCTGGAGAACGTCTTGGAGGCCTCTTGGGCCATCTTGGAGGCATCTTGGGGCCATCTTGGCCGTCTTGGAGGGCATCTTGGGCCGTCTTGGAGGCATCTTGGAGCCATCTTACCCGTCTTGGAGGCCATCTTGGCCGTCTGGGAGGCATCTTGGAGGCCATCTTGGGCCATCTTGGCCGTCTTGGAGGCCATCTTGGGCCAAGTTGGGGCAACAAAGGCATTGACAGACGGATTTTGGGAAAATTACGGGTGGCCGGCGGGACGGGCCGAAGCCCACTGGGGAGTTCTTTTAGAAAAAGAACCAAAACCAAAATCTGAATCGTCCAGCACGCCGTGCACCCCTGCAAGCAGGGGGCGGCGGATCTTGCGGCCTTCGGCCCATCCCGCCACCGTGCCTGGGTTCCAAGACCCCCTCGCACTCGGGAAAACATCAGATGCGCGGTTTTTCAATATTTTCAGCTTCCGGGAGCCCCTGCCAGGCCTCGGGGCCGTCAAAAAACGACGCAGGACGAATAACCGGTCCCGGGGAAAGGGTCGTGACTTCCAGGGACCGCGTATTAAAACCATCAAGACGTCGCATGTTTGGGATCCCGCCACGGTGCGTGGGTTGTGGGTACGAAGCCTACTGGATGTTCGTTGGGATCTCGTGGGAGGCTCTCGGGGGCCTCTTGGAGGCAGTCTGGGGGCCGTTTGGGGGCCCTCTGGGGCCTCTTTTCGGCCTCTTTTGGGCCTCTTGGGGGCCTCTTGGCGACCTCTTGGGGCCTTCTGGCCGCCTCTTGGGGCATCCTGGGGGCCTTTTGGGGCGTAAGCCTCGGATTTTCAGTTCGTGCTCCCTCTATTGGGCTCCTTTTGGGGCCGCCTTGGGACCCTCTGGGGCCGTTTTGGGCGCCTCTTGGGCCGTCTTGGGGCCATGTTTAGCCGTTTTGAAGCTCTCTTAGCTTGGGCCGTCTTGGGGCGGTCTTGGAGGCCCTTAGGGCCGTCTGGGAGCGTCGAGAAGCCGAAACGAGAACACCAACAACATGCAAAAGCCAAAGGACAATCAATGCTGTTGGCCTCTCGGGAAGCCTCTTAGAGGTTTCTTGGGGCGTCTTGGAGGCCTCTTGGGCCGCCTGGGGGCCATCTTGAGCGTCTTGGAGCGATATCGTCCGGCGACTCGGGGCCCTCTTAGACCGGCGTGGTGGGCCTCTTGGAGCCCTCTTGGCCCGTCGTATGGTCCTCTGGGGCCCCAAAGAAGTCACGCGACGAGGCGGGGGAGCCCAGGGGGCACGCGGGAAGCACCGGTGGATTTTTCGGCATTCGGGTTCTGGGCCCCTGTAAAGACTCTTCAGGACTGGGGACTGCGCCTCCAGGGATGAGGCACAAGACTTGTAAGACGAAGCCAGGACGAGGATTAATTCGGGTGAGGATGAACCCAGACCCCCTCGCATTGGGGAACAAAACACGACGGGAGGTTTTTCGCTGCTTTCTGCCCCCGGGGGCCCTTACTGGGCCTCGGGGCCGTCAGCAAACGACTCAGGATGAGAAACCGGTCCCGGGGAAGGGGTCTGTACCTCTCTGGGTCGACGCTGCGGAAAAATCACGACGCCGGGGGTCTGGGAGTCGAGAATTTCTGAGATCCGGCGGCCCTGGAGGGTGTATCAGGTGCCGCGGCCTCCTCGGAGCGTTCCGGAAACTCTCTGGAGCGGGCTCATCCTGATCCCAGCTCGCGCTTGTCTTCCTGCTCGTTCTCCTTCTGCCCCCCTCGCTGCCCTCCCCGCCATCAACGCTGCTATCCTCGACATCCATCGCCTTGTCGTCTCCCTCAACCTTTTCTTCCTGTCCCCCGAGCCCAATGAACAGAATCGGCGCTTCCCGTTCTTGTCCGATCAGGTTTGTCCTCGTCCTAGCCCCAGACGTGCGACGTCCGGATTTTTTCCATACACGAGGTCCCTGGAAGGCTCGATTCTTTCCCCGGACCGGTTTTTCATCCTGAGTCGTTTTTTAACGGTCCCGAGGCCCGGCGAGAGCCCCCCGAGGCCGAAAGCGGCCAAAAAACCGCCCGTCCTGATCTTTCTACGACGCGATCATGCCTGGGGCCCCGTCCTCGCCGGAGGGCACGCCCACGCCAACGCCCAGAGGCTCGGCGGCGGGTTTGTGCTGTTGGTCGCCGCGAAGGGCGTCTCGCAGCTCCTGGTCATAGGGAAACAAACACTGACATAAACATGAAAACTCGCAGCTCCGCGCGGATTTCTCGGATCGGCGTTGGACTTAGGTGGGCCTGTCCCCCTACACGGGGATATTAAGCGAAAGTAGTCAAACAATTTTCCAAAATGGTCAAACATAGTCAAAAAATCGTCCCCTGATTATTTGTTTGACTGTTTTTGAATATCCCCCCTGCAGAGGGACAGGCCCGACTTAACGTTGGACCCCCCTCCCTGGCGCGCGGAGCGCGCCGTGAGCGGCGTCAGAGGCGCCGCCAGGGGTCGCCAGCGCCGATACGAGAAATCCGCGCGGACCTCCGAGTTTTTAGACACTGTTTATTTCCTGGGCCTCTTCCTGGCCACTAGGGGGCCAGGAAGAAATAGGAACGAGCAGAATCAGAAATGGGCTCGATTAGAACTGAACGACGTGTAAGTCGGGCTTGTCCCTCTACGGGAGGAACATCCACAAAGTAGTAAGACAATCGTCCGGGAACGATTTTTTGTTATCACTATTTTTGGATATGTTTGAGCACGTTTGGGGCATTTGTTTTATGTTTCGTCCCGAATCCGCCTGTAGGGGGACGTGCCCGACCCAACCCCAGGTCATGCACAAGCTCCGGGAGCTGCGCAGGCCGCGCCTGGCGCGGTTGGTGCGCGCGTGCGCGGCGGCCAGCCTCGCGGGCGTCGTCGCCGTGGCGCTGCTGTTCTCTCTCCACGTTCTCTGCATGGTTCTGTGGCGCTGGGAGGAGGACTCGGCGGCGAGCGAGGGGGGGGGGGGAAGCGAGAAGGGGAAGGCCTCCTCGGAAGGCGGCGGGCTCCTCAGAAGCGCTCCCGGCCTTCCGAGGAGCTTCCAGCGTCTGCGGGGAGGGCTCAGACAACTGCTCGGAAGGCCGGGGGACGCCCGAACCTCCCGAGAAGGCCTCCTCCTTCTCACCTCCACCCCCCCCTCGCCGCCGAAGGATCTGTTTGCAGTCGCGGCGTTTTTCCCGGGCCTGGTCGCGCTCGTGTCGTACCCGGTCTCGTGCGGCGCCGGCCTTTGGGGCCTGCTCGCGGGCGCGGCGCGCGCCTGGAGGTTTGGCAGCGCCCTGCAGAGGAAGGCAGCACTGTTCGCGGGCCTAACCGCGGCGTGCCAGGCGTGATGGGCTTGTTTTCCACCACCACCACCGTAAGTTGGAGGGGGGAAGGAGGTGGAGGACGAGGAGGAGGAGGAGGAGGAGGACGAGGAGGACAAGGAGGAGGAGGAGGTGGAGGAGGAGGAGGACCCCCTCCCCCTCCAAGTTATGGTGGTGGTGATGGAAAACAGGCCCATCAAGGCACTCTCGTTCAGCAGCACGTTCCTCATGTGGGCTGTCACCCTTGCTGAGAAAAAGGCTGGTTGGTTCAACTGGGCCACGTGCGTGGACGCGCTGTTCGACTGCCTCTGCGTCGCGCTCTTCTCGGGGCTGGTCGGGCCGCCGTGGCTGCAGCGCCTGGCGCAGGACTCGTTCGAGGCGATCAACTCCTACAGCTCCGACCAGCTACAGGAGTTCTACGAGGAGTTCCTGGCGTACCTGGAGCACGCGCAGGTGAAGTGGGTGCGCTGCCGCTATCTGCGGCGCCTGGCCGCGGAAGGGCGCGTCATGACGCGGTGCCAGGAGGTGCCGCCGCACGAGGCGATCTGTGGAAGCGCCGGCTTCCCGCTCTCCAGGGATATGCCCAAGGACAGGTTCGTTCTCTCGCACCCGTGGCTGTCGAGGGAGCACCCCGACCCAGAGGGTGTCAAGCTTCAGGAGCTGGTCCGGCAGCTGAACCTACTGGGCGCCTCCGACGCCGACGCCGTGTTCGTGGACTTTATGAGCCTGCCGCAAAACGACAAGGCTCATGAGGGGAAGAACACACACACACACACGCAGACTCATATGGGAAAATATGGGAAGTGGGGGGAAGACACAAACCTAGAAAATATTCGAAGAAGAAAACGTAGCATAAACATAAACTTTCGGCGCTCCGCGCGGATTTCTTGGATCGGCGCCTGGGCCCCCCAGCGCCGCCTCCGGCGCCGCCCGTGGCGCGCTCCGCGCGCCAGGGAGGGGGTCCAGCGCAGATGCAAGAGATCCGCGCGGAGCGCCATCAGTTACAGTTTGTGCAATTTTTTGATGGTTCCCAGCATGGACCAATTGAGTGAATTCTGGGGCCTTGTGTCGGCGGCGAGCGAAGGGGGGAAGTGAGAAGGGGCGGGCCTCCTCAGAAGGCTCGGAAGTCCCCCAGCCTTCTGAGACGTTTTCAAAGCCTTCCCCGAAAACACAGAAAGAGCTTCTCAGGAGGCGCGAGGGCTTCTGAGAAGCCCCGCCGCCTTCCGAAAAGGCCTTCTCCTTCTCACTTCCCCCTGGCCGCGCCGCCGAACGTGGTTTTGGGGTCATAACTCGGGTCTCCAGCGGCCGTTCGGGACGATCCGGGCACCCCTGGAACGCCCTCGGCGAGGCCCAGCCGCTGGAGCGCATCCCGAGGCTGGAAAACTGCCGGGAACCGACGAAGACGCCGGAACACCTCGAGCCTCGAACCCGAAACTCCCCCCCCATCGCTTCTCCTTCGCACTTTCCCCCCCTCGCTCGCCGCCAGTTCGCGCCTGCTTCTCCGTGTGCCCCTGGGCCCCCTGCCACAGGCCCACCCGGAGCTGCGGCAGCTGGAGCGCGCGGGCAGGCCATGCCCCGACCCGGGGTGCCACCCTGCGGTGCGCACGGCGGCGGAGGAGCGGCTCTTCAAGAGGGCCCTCTCGGCGATGGAGCAGGTTCCCCTGACATGATCGCGTCGTAACAAAAGTCAGGACGGGAGGTTTTTGCCAGTTCTCGGCCTCGGGGAGCCCTCGCCGGGCCTCGGGGCCGTCAAACAATCATTCAGGATGAGAAGCGGATCCCGCGGAAAGGGTTTGGACTTCCAGGGGCCCCGTATTAAAAAAATCAGACGTCGCATGTCTGAGTCGGAAACTGGAACATATACATCGAAGAAGAAAAAACGCCATAAACATAGACTTTTGTTTTGGATCTGTGCTGGGCCCCCTCCCTGGCGGCGCCTTCGGCGCCGCCCCTGGCGCACTCCGCGCGACAAGGAGGGGGCCCAGCGCAGATCCAAGAAATCCGTGTGGAGCGCCACAAATTTATGTTTATGGCGTTTTCTCTTTTTCTAATCACCCCGTGCGGGCGATAAGAAAGTCGACCCCCCCTTCACCCTTTTTAATATCCCCGTCCAACATGATTTAATTGGTACCACTGGCGGGCTGCTCCCCAATCCCAGGACTTTATGAGGGGCGGGGGCGACGTCGGGGCGATGTGGTGTATTTGTTCCCCCCGTTGTCCCGGGGAAACAACGAAACATGTCTACACCACGATCCCGTCTACACCAGGATCCGCTTTCATTTGCAAGTGTCAGCGCAGGGCCGGAAAAAGCGTCGGTGTGTAGAGTTTGCTTCCCTAGCGTTCGGTCACGCGCAGGCCCAGACCCCCTTGCGTTGTGAACAAATCACAATGGGACGTTTTTCGTCACTTTCGGCCTCCAGGGGCGTTTACCGGACCTCGGGACCGTCAACAGACGACCCAGGATGAAGAACCGATCCTTGTGAAGGGGTCCAAGCCTCGGGGGGTCAACGTTGTGAACAAGAATCGCGACGTCGGGGGTCTGGGGACGGGGGTAGGGAGAGGGGGAGGGGGGAGGGCTTCTTAGAAGCACCCCTGCTTCATAGGAGGCGCGGGCCTTCTTTCTACTAGATGTAAGGCCCGCGCATTCTAAGAAGCAGCCTCCCTATGAGAAGCCTTCACTTCTCCCCCTCCCCCCCTCTGCCCGTCGTCAAGGTGTACAGTACTGGCAGCATCAGGGTGATCGTCCTCCCCATGGACAGCAGCGTCGAGGCGGGCAGGGAGTACATCAAGCGTGGATGGTGCTTCTTGGAATTCTGCCTGGCGCTGAGCTTCGGCAACATCTGCAACGCCGAGATCGCCGAACCCGTCGCACTCCTCGCGGAAGAGGTGAAGAGCAAGCGGGCTAACACGGTAGACGGCTTCCGGTCGGCTTTCCAGCATACGCACTTTACCAATAAGGGGGACGCTGACGTTGTGCTAGAGCTCTTCGAGAACACCCTCGACAAGCAGACAAGACACTGAGGGAGCGTGCCGCTCCCATCGCATTTGTCGGCCCTCTCTCCCGCGTTCTCTCCCCTGCGTTCTCTCTGCCTGCCGAGGGTCAGGCGGGCGATCGACGGGCACTGCATATCTGAATGCCTAGATGTTCTGAGGCGGGTGGAAGAGATGTGTGAAACTTGTAGGTCATGACGAACTCGCAGAACATCTGAGGACACTTAGACAACAGGTGTCTTGCAGCCGGCCCGAGGTACAAGATCGATGTCGGCTCGGGGAGGGTACCCTCGTGTTCTTCGTGCTTGCTGGATTCTCTTGTGCGTCCTGGGGAGGGTACCTTTGGATGCTCGTGTTCTTGAGGGATGTTCTTCTGGCCTAGGTCAGACTGTAGAGCCTTTGGATGGGGTGTGTTCTGTGACGTGCCTCTCCACGATCCCCTCGGGGGTCACATTTACCCCCCCAGGAGTCCGGGACCCGTTATTGGGGTTCCAGGCGGCTATTTCGGCATCCAGAGCTTTCCAAAGTTGTCCAGGAGGATGCCCAGACGCCGCCTGGACGGCCAAGGATGTCCTGAGACGATCTGGAAACCTCCAGGACGGCCCCAGGATATTTCAAGATGCCTCAAGAGACGCTCCAAGAGGTACCAAGAAAGTCTCCAGGCAGCCAACATGTCAAAGCCGCTTGTTTTCAAGGTTTCTGGTTCTCTTGCGTTTCTCCTTCGCATGGCTCTGGGAGCGCTTCTTTGGGCCTCGAGAAAGGGTAGAATATGTTAGCCATCGTGGGCCTCAAGAGTGTGCTTCTAGCAATCGATGTGGTGCCATCTATGTGAGACGTTCCAGAAAAGGGCCTCGGCTTCGAGGATTGGCGGGGTTGGCATCTCTTCCTCGGCGGAAGGCAGGGGAAGGGCCGCGGACGCTGGCGGAAGTAAAACGAGGGCGCCTCCGCCAGCAGATAAAAGTTGCCCTCCAAGAGATGACACCATTTTTGGGTTCGGGGTTTCTTGAACTTGCCTCGTGGGGCGATCGATGTGGTGCAAGCCACCATCCAGAGCTTGATGTTGTCAACTCCACTGGTCGCGCAATCATCCCACCCACCCATCCGCAAGTTGTTTTGCAAAACCCATGCGGCGGCAATTGCGATGACTGATTGGCGCTAGCTGGCGCCTCGCTGCGGCCGCGCTAGCGCGCGCAGGCTCGCGCGCAGAGCGGCCAGCTAGTTTGGTGCCACCGCCGCGGCCGCGGTGGCGCCGTTTTTGCCGGGTGCTTCCCAGCGCGTCTCGCAGGCCGCGCTGGCGCGCGGGCGCTGCATTGCGCGTCGGTGACTCGGGCGGGCATGGTATCATGGTGACGTCGACAACGGTGAGCACGACAATGACGATGATGATGACAACGACGACGGCAAAGCCAATGACAGCGCCGATGCCAGTCATATGATGGTGTGCGCGTGTCGGCGATGAAGGTTTTGGAAGGATTTCGACATGCGCGCGCGGCCGACGCGCACGAGCGGCCCGCATTGTTCGATTTGACAGTGATCGTGCGCCCCCAGCACGGAGGGCGTTCGAATGATTTCGACATGCGCGTTCGGAAAAGCCCGCGTGGTTTCATGTGACGAACACGTCCAAACACTGATACTTGTTTGAAGAATTCGTCAGAGCGCGCCGATTTCTTAGAATGCGAACGTTGTGAAGCCATGTGCTTTATTTGTTTTCAGGCGCCTCGATCTTCAAATCCTTACGCCGGCGACGCCGCGCGCGTGTTCAATGTTCTGTAAGGGAACTGGTGCGCGCGCAGCTTATTTGCCAAGGATGAGGTGGGGGGTGTGGATAAGACGGAGTTCCCTGGGATTGTCTGAGTTTATATGTTTTGAAGTGCGATGGGGCAGAATCGTCTGCAAATTTCTGTGCCCCATGGCGGAGCGATAAACCCAGGCCGGGAGGAGGGTGGGGGGTGAGTGTATACATCCTTGCTAGGGAATGTACCATATGTAGACTAAGCTATGTGGTGCAACCCGTGTGGTGTAGCTTAAGTTTTGCAGCATATGTGTTGAATCATAGGATGCGCAATTTACTCTGTGCAACTTTTATGTTGCAATACACATGGTGCAATGTTGTTGATGCAATCTGCGGCGCGCAATCTGCGTGGTGCAAAACATGTGGTTCGTTTCGTGTGGTGCAAGTCAGGTCAGTCAATCTATAGGGTACAATCTATGCGGTGCGATCTCTGGCGTGCAATCAATCACTTGCTCAACTTGAGGCTGTCCTGTCCACGTTTCGTGGAAATATCCCACCCTCTCACCCGCAACTAGGTCGCAAGACCTCTTAGGACCGTGACGGTAGCTACCAAATTGCATTTGGCAGCGACACCGACGACGACAGCGACAACGACGTCGACGACGATGACGCCGCCGACAACGACTACGACGATACCGACGACGTCACCAACGACTTCGACGACGACGACGACGACGACGACACCGACAACGACGACGCCGACGCGGACGCCGACGACGACGATGACAACGACAACGACGACTCCGACGACGACGACGACGCCGACGACGAAGACGACGACGACGACGACGTCGCCAAGGAAGACGACGACGACGAGGGAGGGGGGAGGACGCCGACAACGACAACGACGACAACGACGAGGGAGGAGGGAGGACGGCGACGACTCGAACGACGAAGAAGGAGGGAGGACGGCGACGCCGACTACGACAACGACGATGGAGGAGGGAAGACGACGACGACGACGACGGCGACGAAGAAGGAGGGACGACGACGAGACGCCGACCACGGACGACGACGACGACGACGACGAGGGAGGAGGAAGGACGACCACGGCGACAACGACGACGGAAACGACGACGAAGCCAAAGAGGACGACGACGACGACGACGACCAGGAAAGACAGGACGACGACGGCGACGACGACGACGACGAGGGAGGAGGGAGGGCGACGACGACGATGACGCAAGAGCGCGCGCACGCTTTTGTTGAACATCCGTGTTGCGAAGCCCCGTATTTTTCTCATGTTCTTTGGGGCACTCGATTTTGAAACCCTTCCGACACCGAAGGTTTTTGAAGGATGTCGGCATGCGCGCGCGACGACGCGCGCGCGTGCACGTCGTCCGTTTTTTTGCGGGGGATTCTCGCGACGGCACGCGCACAAGGGCGTTCGAAGGATTTCGACATGCGCGCGCGAAGCCCTGTTGGTAGTATTGTTTGATATTATTGAATACCTATGGTGTTCTTAAGATTTCGCAAAAGCTCGCGCACTTTTTCTGTATTAAGATAATTAATAATACAAACAGTGTTGCGAAACCCTGTGTGTTTGTAGGTTTTTTTGGAAACTAGATTTTGAAATCCTTCAGATACCGAAGTTTGTTGAAAGATTCTTGCATGCGCGCGCGACGACGCGCGCGTGTGCACTTCTTTTCATTTGTTTGCAAGGGGTTCTTGACAACTTATGATTTTTGGTAAGCGGGTGTGCGCGCATAGTGTTTTTGTTCAAAGGATGGCGGGGGGGGTCGATACTGGTTTGGCTGGGAATAGCATGAATTCATTGGTGTGATGGACATTGGGTCAGAGTCCTATGTATTTCGCATCGGTTCCCAGGGGATCGTTAACCCCAGGGGGGGGGAGGGTGGTAGAACCTGTTGTTTTTTTAGACAGGAATATATATATGGTGCCATTAATTTCTGTTCGCAGTGAGTTGCCCGCTCCACTGCTCGCGCAAACATCCCACCCACCCGCCCGCAACTTGGTTTGCTGACCTCATGCGGCGGCGATTGCGATCAGTGCTTGGCGCTGGTTGGTGCATCCCTGCGGCCGCGCCAGCCCGCGCATGCATTCGCGCGCAGCGGCCAGGTAGTTTGGCGCGACCGACGCGGCCGGGGTGGTGCTGACCGCTCGGCACATCCCAGCGGGCACTTGAGTGCGAGTCGGCGACTTGGTCGGGCGCGGTATCATGGCAACGTCGATAATTGTAGACACGATGATGATGATGATGATGATGATGATGATGATGATGATGATGATGATGCTGATGATGATGATGATGATGTTGATGATGATGATGATGATGATGGTAGTAGCGATGTTGGCGACGATGCTGACAGCGACGACGGCACGGCCAGTGACGGCGCCGATGCCGATCACGCCGGCGAGGCAGGTGATCGCGGTGATGCTGACAAGGTGGAAAAGGACATCTGCGCGCGCGGGAGTTCAACAAATCCGTCAGACTGATCATGCGCGCGCGGTGGTGCGCGCATGTGGCCCGCGTGGTTGTTTTTGGAAGGGATTCGCGCCCTCGGCGCATGACAGGAGTATCGCGGGTGCACCGCGCGGTGACATGAAATCGCTGGATTCGGCCGAATTCATAAGTTTTTTTTTTTTTTTTTTTTTTTTTTTTTTTTTTTTTTTTTTTTTTTTTTTTTTTTTTTTTAAAAAAAAAAAAAAAAAAAAAAAAAAAAAAAAAAAAAAAAAAAAAAAACATGAGCGCGCGGACAGGAAAGTTGCAACGTTTTTGTTGCAAACCCCTTGGGTTTTAGGTTGTTATGCTGAACTGCTTGCAAACACAGTGTGGTTGGTACGGTTTTGACATCGACGCGTGCGTGGTGACTTTCTGTGTGCGCGTGTGTTTTTGCATGGTATTCTTGACAACTTATGGTTTTTGATAAACGAGTGCGCGCGCATAGTAGTTGTTGCAGAGGATGGCGGGGGGGTCGATACCGGCCTGGCTGGGATAGTACGAGTTCATATTCCGGATGGACGATGGGGCAGAGTCATCTGTATTTTGCAATACGAAAAGACGTACCATTAACTCGGGGGGTAGAGTTTTTAATTTCTATATATATATATAAGGAGAGTCCACTTTGACTGTCTTGAATCGGAGAAACGTAAGACTCGAGTAAGCCGGGACTCGGGTTAGCCGAAGTTGTTTTGACGAGCGCGTCCTGGATTTTGACGGTCCATTTTACGTGGGACGTTTGCAGCGGGAGCCCGCGTCAAATTTCAGACTGGGTCTCGTCATTTTCATGACGGCCCCCGTCAGGCCAACCCGAGTCCCCCGTACCCAGGTCTTACGTCTCCCCGATCGAAGCTG